CAAACTTATGGTGACCAGGGGAGAAAGGGGGTGGGAAGGAATAAATTGGGAGTTTGGAATTTGCAGATGCTAACTACTATATATAAAAGAGATAAATAATAAGGTTCTACTGTATAGCACAGAGAACCAAATTCAATATCTTGTAACAGCCTATAATGAAAAAGAATTTGAAAAGGAATATATCCATGTGTAACTGAATCATTCCACTGTACACCAGAAATTAAGACAACACTGTAAATTGATTATACATCAATAAAAAAAACTAGTTGTAAAATTTATGGGACAGACTAGGTTTAAATAAACCTATAATTTACCCTCCCTGCTCCATTTGAAGCCTCCTATCATGATTTTTAATGAGCAGACAGAAAAATAGCTGCCTCAAGATAATGAGAAAAAAGTCCAAATATTGCATAACATAATTTGGGAGTGAGCTTGTCTGATTTCCCATCCTTTCTATATATTTTTGCAGGGAGAAAATACTTATGCACTGAAGTGAAAGTTCTGGCATGGCAAAGCCTTGTGCAGACTGATGCACAACTTACCACCTTGCTACTCAAAGCATGGTCCCCAGACCCAAGCATTGGCATCACCTGCATGTTTGTTAGAAATGCATGATCTTGTACACTGGATCTACCAAATTCGAATCTGTATTTTAACAAGATCCCTGGGTGATTTGAGAAGTAGCACTTTATAGTGCTCACACCTTGTTGTTTCTCCCCCTTTTTTGATTAATCTGGACAGACATAATGCAATTGTTTGAACACAGATGGCTTTGGGTAATCTCTGTGATGATGAATTTAATGTGATACTCTCTCTTTTTCTACCAGCCATGTGCTCCTAGGCCACCCACCAATGCTTGCTGTCCTAGGAAATGATGCTACACTATACTTAACTGTGTGGAATGCACATTTATCTACATGTATCTACATGAACTGCATCTGGAGACTTGTCGCTCAGTGAAATTACACACTATACACCAAGGCTTTGTGTGCGACTGAACGTGAAGCTGACAAGCTACTAACACTTCTGAGAGAAAACCTGTGAGAAATATTCCATTTTACCACTAGGTGGAAATAGAGTAATTTTGAGCATAATTTTTCCAGGGCCATGAACTACTGCAGGAGAACTTCGTAAGCTGAAAGGGACTTAAGAAATCATTTAGTCTGATTTTTACTCTCTTAATGCCATAGTTGGGAAACCTGAAGTTCAGAGATATTAAGTAAAAAGTTAGAGTTGCATCTGTCTTACAACTAGTTGTCACCTAGAGCCACTGGGGGAAGATTTGCTAGTAATTCTGGGTTCTTTAGCCATTTTCACTCACAAGAGGAATGTGTTATTGATCTCTAGCATGAAAGAACACTTGATGTGACACCTATATTGTTTCTGTGCTTTCTCTAAAACTAATGACCAGCACAATTCTGTATGCTTGTAAGGAAAGGCTAAGATAAAACAATTGTTCCTTGTTCCCTCTATTGTAATGTAATTAATCTCAATCAAGTGATAATTCTCCCTTTTTGCAGTAAAGATATACTCAACCATCCTGTTGACTGAAAAAATGCACAACCTAAAAGTTGAGAATTATGCTTCACTCAGCAGAATTTCTGAGGACTTAAGCCTGGGATACAGCCTCTCAGAGAACACCGAGGGTCTGTTCCAAAGAGGTAAGGGAGGAGCCGGGATATAGACGAGTTTTTGCTGGGGAAAGAAAAAAAAAACAACCATGTAGTTGAACATCAAAAGATTACTGCTAAACACAAAAACCAGACATCTCAAGTTAATGATTTTAGTGCTTTTCTTAGTATGGGAAGATGCAAGAGTCAGGGCTCACTGAAATTATTCCTTTGATATGCATTATCTAGGGCCAGTATCCTGTTTTTTCTCCATCCTGAACCCCCTCTGGTCACACATCAGAGCGGCTGCAGTGGCTGATGGCTTGATGGCTGTAACATCCTCTGTTCACTGCAGGAGATATTTTTCATCCACACACTCCTCACATCAAAGAGTGTTTAAAAGTTAAGTTTTAGGCAATGCCTCTGGTTTAAAAACTATTTCTTAAGTACCTACGTATTTAGTACTATAGTGCCATTTTCCTCTTAATATTTTGGTAGCATGGTTGATTGTGATAATCTAAAAATTAGTATTCCAGTACTGAGTCCTGGCTATTATTACCATATTCTATACAAAAATTGACAAAACATGTTGAACTAGCACATTAAGAACATAAATCCGAACACACAGGAGACGCTGCTCCAGGAGGCACAAGCAGCGGGCTGCCCTAATTGTCTAGAAGCCAGCACTTAACATTGATGAGCAAATGATGCACTCAGCTGCCCCCAGGACATGACCATTTTCTGAGCAGGAGAGCCTCAGATGTGGGACATGCAGGTCATTAGTGGCACAACTACATGGCTTGAGTCACTCAGTATTAAAATGGTACCACAAGGAAAACTGGGCTGATCCTAAAATTAGGCAGGAACTTGAAAGGGATACAGTGCAGGGGAGTGAACATCCTGAGGCATGTGGGAAGACGACAGACCAACCTGAGATTTCAGTTTGTTAAGGAAGGTACAAGTCTCTTGGTATAATTCAGGGGACTGTCGCCTCTAGTCTTCATCTCATGAAGAGGACGGAGAGCTAGAGGCAGCCAGGAGTGGTCCTATTTCACAAGGTCTTGAGTAAGAAAGACCTGGGCAGGCATTCTGGTTCTGCAAACTTTCCATGCCTGGTTTCTCTTAAAAAAAAAATTGGGATAAGACTCCTTATCAAAAATGCAGTGGCGATCAGAGTTAGTGGGTATAAAGTGGCCAGGAGGTAGAGCATCCAGCACAAGTTGGCACTCAATAAATGACCCCATCTCCACCAAGGGAGCTACCTTTTCTGTGTGGCAGCTTCCTCACCTCACCCCACCTCACTTCCACAGGGACCCAGGAGCACAAAGCAAGATGCCTTGACAAGTGCACTTTGAAAAGTACAACGTTCTACACAAAAAATCAGAGTACGGTTGTGATTAAAGGCGAAGAGGAAATGCAATGATGTCTAAAGACTTAGGAGTCAGAGGGGAAACTGAAAGGGCTCACTCAGCTGAAAATACAAATAATAAAACATACTTGAACAAGAACATTTAATAGCAATGGCAGTCACATAACCTGACATCTTCTACCTAGTTTGAGTTTGGAAATCAAACTTTCTGGGACACCTCCACCCACCCAACACCTTCTGATTAAAGGATCTATCTCAACTCAGGTATATATCCATCCTTGAGGCGCCAGTTGTGCCGGGGGTGGTTTGAGGGTGGGGAGAACAGGTTCTCCCCCGAGGGTGTGGGATGCGGGTTTGTCCGCTGACCATGAGCTAAGACGAGGGAGACAAAGAAGTTATCAGTAATCTGTCAAGACCAGACTCTTGAGCAATCCATTCCTGCCATGGGAGCCCAGCGAAGGCTAGCTGATTCGTT